GCCTTGTGGAGTCTCTGCACGTTCAGCTGGAACAAGGGTCGACTTCGGACAACTTCCGGTCGTGGACCCAGGTCCTTCTAATCAGTTTGGTCACGACACTTTGCAATAGCCAATTCACAGCTTTTCGCCGATACTTGTAACTTCGTGGCTGGTGACTATATGTGGCATCGACATGCCGGCCTCCTGGAATTCCATTGCGTGGTGTCCACTTTCATTTGGTCCCACTTGTTGCCGCTCAACCTGTTCAAAAGACTCAATGTCTCTGGAAACGAAACTGGTCTTTCAGGTCAAATCACAACAAGCAAAGAATATCATTCAAGTCCAACAATCGAACAAAAAAAAGATGTCTATAGAGCTCTGTTTGCACAATTTTATCGGTTATCAGGTATATTCGCGCACCCAGTCGGAACAGGATCGACTTCGAACAACTCTCGGTCGTGGATCCCGTTCCTCATGGGGTCTCTGCACATTCAGTCGGAACAAGGGCCGACTTCGAACAACTTCCGGTCGTGGACCCAGGTCCTTCTAGCCAGTTTGGCCACGAATTCACAGCTTTTTGTCGACACTTTGGTCACGACGTTTCAAATTCCCAACGCCAGGCATGCTTGTGATGCTCCAAGGATCGCAGTGCATACAAGACATATGCTCGTCGCTTCCACGGTCTCAGGCTTGGACGCTGCTGGAGCACACAGTCAATGGCATCCTCGACACTGAGATCCCACCAGATCACCAGCCAGGCGCAAAGCGCGGCGGTACTGCGATTGATGCCTCCAAAGCAATGAAACAACGGCGTAAACCTGATGTCGTGGTTCCAGTAGTAGGAGGCCACATCCCAAAGAACATGCATCAAATCTTTCCAGAAAGCTAAACATTCACCGGCAGACTGACGATGCTTCGCCAGCTCTGTATTTGGGTCTTTGACTGTGGGATCCTCGATGAACCACCAGATATGAGCGACGCCACAACGTTCAAAATAGGTGGGCAAATCTGACGGCGCGCCGCGCACCTGGATCTCGTTCCCACACAGGGTCACGACATGGGAGATCTTTGTCGTGTACTCCACCTCCACCGCTTCAATGTTGACAGCCGCTTTGACACTACCGAGGAAGATGGCATCCCCTCCCAAGGTAATGCGGCTGGCATCCAGTGGCCAGGCAGTGATATCTCCAAAATTGTAGTCATGACTGTGTGTCTTCCAGTCCAGCGGCTTCCATGGCAGGCGAGAGTATGCCGTTTGAATTTTCCGTTCACATGCATTTACCCAGCTCCGAACCTCGGAATTCCACGGTAGGAGGTCTGTCATGACGCAAAGCAGGGAATGGACGATCTAATAATTCGTCTTCAAAGCTGCGGATAACTTGCAACCATGAGAGCAATGCCGTCCCTGCGATGGCACAGCGTGTGTCCAGACAGCATCGCCACATACATAACTATCTATACGACTTAAATATCGCAACAGTCATGGAGGCACAAGCAATTCCAGCCACAAAGACAAGTACAAAACACGACGACAAAACTTGCATGCATGAGTTCCACGACAATCTGTGTTTTGACGCAACCCCACCTCGCCCACAGGCATCATGCAGGCTCCAGCAAGGCATTTGAGTACATCGATCAGCCTGGCAAGCCTCAGAGCAGTTGGATAGCACAAAGACAAGATGCATACATTACAGTCTGCATATCCATGTCCGAGGGAAGTAAAGACACTTACTTCGGATGGGTTTCGGACAACTCCCGGTCACGCATCCAGCTTCTATTTCCCGGTC